CCCCCACCCCACCATTACAGTTACTGCCATGACTTCAGAATAGGAATTCTTCTCTTACCTATACCTTAATGATTGGATTATCTGTGTGTCTTGGTTAAAGCTGCCTCAAATACTTTTTGGAAGTAGGCAAAGCAATAAATAATAAATACAATTATATATATAACAATGTCTTCAACCTGTCCTCAACATGCAGAGCTACAAGTTGGGGGACTCTGCATTCATAGTATCTTGGCCATATTCCAGTTCATCTTAGTCCCCAAGTCCACTCCAGGGAGAAAATGGGAAGGCAATGCAAAATGTGGTGAATCTGCCCCCTAGTTGTGAAGATACCTTCAAGTGATGTCTGTTGGAATAGACCGGCAACTAGACCAAACTGGGGAAATCACTGGTCAAACAGTCGTCTTCAGTATTTGTGGTTATTTACTAGAAAAACTCATTGTTTCAAGCTTTCTCTGAATACTAATGCCATGTTACATTTATAAGATGCATTGTTATTCTACAAAACACTTCTACACTGATTCCAACAATCCTGTTTATGAGTAATTTGAGGCTGAGTAGCAATGCTATTGACTTCTTAAGTTTTTATAAGCTTACTATTAATTTCTCCCAAAGATATAAAAACATACAGTACTAAGTGATGTTGAGAGCTAAATCCCTAAAAGGTGATGGGGGAAGGGGTAGGCAAACACTATGAATATGGCTATAGACAACTGAGAATTCCTCCAAACTTGGCAAGGGAAAGGGCAAGAAGTAATACTTCGTTTTAGCAATTTATCAAGGAAGGCTTTTACATTATTACTAATAATTCACAATACACTAATGAATGCATCTAAGCTTTTTTTGTTTGGTTTTCTGGCAGTGCTAATAGATTTATATTTATTCAACCAATTATTCATTCATTTAAAATAGATACTGGATGCCTACTAGGTATTAGACACAATGCTAGGCATTGGGGATACACCAAAGAAACAGATGTGCTCCTGTCTCCAGGAAGCTTACAGTCTAGTGGGGACGGCAGAGAGGCAAGTATAGGTGCTATGAAAGTATATGAAAAGGGCGCCCAGTCCAAACTTGTGAAGTTTTGCTAAAAAAGGTAACACGCACTCATTCTCCAGGTCTCACCTTAGGAGTTAACAAAGCTGGGAAAGCGGAAGAGATGGAACGACAAGTGGCAAGGCCTCAAAGTGAAAGAAACTAGGGCGGCCAGTCCTCAGCGGGCTATAGGCTGGGGAGAGAGAGGAGACTAAAGTTGTTTTAGGCTAATACTCTTCTCCGTGAGGCAGGAGATCAAAGACATGTCTTCCAAGAACGGGAACAAGGTAGGAAGCTTGAGAAGATGCCTGGAGGTTTGAGATGGTTGTGGGGATAAAGAGGAAAGGCTAGGCTAGGAGCCATGTACAAGCACAGTGGTAGAACATCAGTAGGGTGGGCAGGTGCAGTCCAATTGCATTACTTGCTAAAATATCTCAAGTCTATCATAGTTAGGGGGCCCTGGTGGCGTAGTGGTTAAGCATTTGGCTGCTATCCAAAAGGTCAGCAGTTTGAATCCACCAGCCACTCCTTGGAAACCCTATGGGGCAGTTCTACTCTGTCCTATAGGGCCGCTATGAGTCAGAACCGACTCAACAGGAACGGGTTTGGGTTGTTTTTTTTTTTTAATCATACCTAGCAAATTTGAAGAAAACAATCTAAAATGTGGAATCCATTTCAGTGAGTCATGAGTATTTTCATTATGTAGTCTTTATTTTAGATGAACATTATTGTAAAAAAAAAAGTTCACCTGGAATAAAATCCATTAAAAACAAAACAAAACACAGCATCAGTATCAGTACACAGTTAATGAATTGGTGTAAACAGGTTTAAACATGTGACAGGTCCACTGCATCTGCAGGAGCTTTTCACAGTAAGCCGCTGGAGTAGAAATATAATATGCTTAACCACACACAACAGGATAATTTCATGGAAAAACTAGATATTTTCCTTTAGGGGCACGATTTTAGTCAAACAGTTTATGTTACTTTGCATTAAAGGAACTGCAGTGTCAGCTGCAAACAAAGAAAATGAAACCTAACTGTAAGGCCAAAGGAATGAACGACAGTGATGAAATTCACTTTTTTTTTAAAAAGTGAGAAAATGAAACAAGAAGTTCTATTAGTTCTTGGCAAAAGGAAACGTAACCGAATGTGGCACAAGCATTTCGAAAAACAAAGTAAAATCTGAAAACATCTCTAAAATAACTGTTTGCTAATTTTCATTTCAGTCATTTAATTTTTTTTTCATAATGAACATGGGACAGTCATTCATTGTATTAGTCTTAAAACAAAGACAGATTCTATTGCAAAACTGTGCTAGAATTTGGAGATTTTATTAAACTATCCTCTAGGTCAAGGGGTTTCATTTCAAGATATTCCTTTTGTTTTTGTCCCCACCCTCACCCCTCTCCCCCGCCCCACTTTGGATATAAGAAGAGGAAAAAGGAACCTCTTTTCTGTTAAAAATTTTTTTTCTAAAAATTCTGATTACATAAATGAGTGCTTAAACTCTGAGCTAAGTAAGCCAACATAATGCAATGTGGTTTTAAAAATTTAAGCTTAGAAGTTCACCTATAAAGATTAAAAACTAAATTTATTAAGGAATCCAAGTCATGAATTAGAAAAAAATCTCTGCTCAAATGTATTACTTACTCATCACAGGAAAAACCGTATAAGCCTTAATACAGATTCTCAGCATTCAGAACCTGTAAAACGGAGTTACAATCTTTGACATAGAAACTTCTGCAAAAATGTATCTACATTGCACAGCTAAATTTATTAATGGGGACAGGGAGAGAATACGTTTTTGAGCTATTAGATATGACATGTATGTTCTATTCTAAACTAAAATTCCTCCTACCTTTCCCAATGATGTCTTTAGTTCAAAACAAAACATAAAACCTAGATTTCGTAGAATGCTTACGTGTAGGCTGGCTCGCTGTTTTTCTACCAGATGTTAGAATACTAGTTAGCTAAATGAGGTATAATTAAAAAATAGTCCTTCAAAGTAAAGAGTATACAGTCTTCTGAAAATTTACAACAAAGATGCACAAAATGTTGCTGTAAATAGTAAGAAACCCTGCAGCAGCACTAACTGACCCACAGGTGGATTATTTTCTCATAACCTGTCCGAAGTAAAATAGAGCTAAAATAAGTCCCAGTGAAACATTTTACAATCAACTGGTTTACATGCTACTGAGCTACAGCACAGTTTCATTGCCTGATACTCCCAGACTCTATTTGAAAAGGGCCAGTCCAATCACTGTCAAAAGTTAGCACGCTGATAATAAAGTGCAGCCACCGACCACAAACACTGCTGCAAAAATCTTCACGTACCTGATCCATAAGACCACAAAAGTGTTCACACAAAACTAGAAGTCTTCCGTTTCAGCAGGGAACAGACAGTTATCTGTCACTAAATTCATCTACAAATAGAAAAAATAATGCACTGTATGTACATTATTAAGCAAAGTGGAATATTTATTGGGTCATTTTACCATGCAGAAAGTGAAATTTCCTATGGTCTTAGCTCAAATTATATACAATTTAGCAAAGCTAAATGTAAGAAAATAGCAAGGACATCTTATTTCTATATAACAGAACATATACACCCCAATTTGCTACTACTTCAAAGAGCACTTTTAGACCCATCTAACTTTTACAGGCTTTTTCAAAGGGAAGTTCATGGAGACTAGTTATTAACCCATATAAGACAAGAGAAGAGAGAAGAAATGCAACAAAAGCAAAGCATTCTGTTAAAAAAAAAAAAAAAAAAAGTTAACCATACGACAGAATGTCAGTTTTGGTTTGCAGACAAGCCCTGAGATATAAACCAAAGTGTTAAGACACCAAATAGTCAGAGGTAAATTACTAAAAGAAGTACATTCATTCGTGGTGCCATGACACTTGCCTCTTACAAAGTACTTGATTACCGTCCAGATAGCTTAAGTGCTTGGATATTTTTCAGAAAATTAGTAAATACAGGATGTTTCTAAGAAATTCTTTTTCCTTCCCAAAAATGTATCTAATTCGAAGACGGCAGACTTAAAATCCACTTTCAATCGGGGATCTACTGATTATACCGGGACAGCAAGAGACCAAATGTTCCTTAATTTCAGCGTATTAACTTCAGCTTTCAATGTTCTACTCTTTTTTAAACAGCCAAGCTAGTTAACTACAAAAAAAATTCACGGAGACTGAAATTTGTCCACAGTAAGTTTAGTATATTGTATCCATCAAAAGCAGACCTAGTACGCTTGCTGCCGCTAAATTGTGTGTAAGCTTTCAAACAAACGGGGAAGGTGGATTGGTCCAAGCATTCCAACTACACATCTTAATTTGCAGTAGAGTTCTCTGTGGCAACAAGCGATCCATTTTCATGTCCATTCCCCATTCTTAACTACCAAGCATGATGGTATCCTTTGTGAAGCAAAATAGGCATACCAGGAAAAACAATTATTCATAGGATTCATTTCCCTAATCACCTCTTTATCATCCCCTTCTGTTATGACACTGAAGCCTACAGTAACAGCAAGGACATAATGATCTGAACTTTGGCACATAAATTAACACTAAATACCTTTTTTTCTTATGTGATAGTTTCATCTACAGAACGGACACCAGTACCACTGTTCAGTGAGAAAGGCAGCTAAGCTTTTGGTTGGCTTTGGCCTAAACAACTGGACCAAGCTCTGTAACAGTAAGCCTGAACAGACGGAGCTGGGTTCTACACAGTAAACAACTGTTTTAAAACGGAAATCTTGCTAATCTTTTTTCTAATGAAAAGGCAAGACTTTTCCTAGAGGTTGCACTAAGTCAATTACTTTCATTCTTTAAAAATAACACCCTCCCAAAAAAAAGAAAAAGAAAACCAAAAATTATTATCACCATCACCAAGAGCTATCTGTATTAAATGTATGTCAACAAGTTAATCGCTCTCCCTATAGGTAAGCTTTCTGCACACTCAAATCTAAATCTAACTTTTGTTAACTCTTCAGACAGGGATTATGGCAGGAATTAGGTGATATAACTAAATCAGCAAGCTAAGGGGTCAACCTAAGAAAAAAAATAGAGCATCTTGGTATGACAGAACCACAAACAGATGCTGAAATACAACCCTAAACGGCACATCTCTCTGCCTCTGTCAAATTCCACCTCAAGAAGTTCACAATTAAAAACAGACACCAATGTTCAAATATGCTATGTTTTCGATAACTGAGTAATTACAACAGGTCAAACAAGGGAGGGAACAGTAAGTAAAAATCCCAGAAAAGGTGAGATGAAAGACTTCCAAATGCAGTTTCTACAGATTAGGCGGAGGTGATCACCTTCAAAAATGATTCTTTCAGCTAACCGGACACTCTGTGGCAAAGAGGTCTGGAATGAAGCAAAGCTGTAAATAATATGAAGAAATAAAGAAATTGTGGCCTCTGGTGAATAGGCGGGCATTTCTATGAATTTTTAAAATAAACTTTACCACATCATAATGATTCTTATTTAAGAAAATCACAAACCAGAGTCCTGAAATAAACGCTACCAATGCAATAACATTTGGTCATAAGAACTGGACCAAACGTTCTTGAATCTTAGTATATTAACCTCTGCTTTACATGTTCTACTTTTTGTATAAACAGTCCCAAAATGCACAGATCTGTCTAGACTTTCGGGAGACAAAACTGCGCAGGCGAGTCTGAGATTGTGCTGTAACCAGGACGGGCTGACACTGATGTGCAAAGTGAAAAGAAAGACAGCAGCTTCTGCAACAGGCAACAAAACAAGGAAAAACCAAGGTAAGTCCTGCATGTGTCTCCACTTTATGGCTTCCGTGTTTGAAAAAAGGAGCTTGTTATTTTGCTAGGCCCGGAGGCCGAGTCCACTTGGCCTTTTGTGTCGAGAGGTCTAGGTTCAGAGGTGCTCTCAGCAGCAGCTGGGCGGTGAGATTCTGAGGCTGGGCGGCCTGTGCTTTCAGAGAAGCAGGAAAGGTTCCTCTGGGTGTGCTGCAGTCTATCAGAAAGAGCTCATCAAAGGAGCGAACAGCGGAAGAAACTGGTCTTCTTCGATCGGTTTTCTGTTATTTTCACTGGTCCACCTGCCCCCGACAAATTGCTGTCATTCTAAACAACAGAGGGAAAAGTTACCAAGAAAGGAAAGGAAAGTTTCATGGTTTCACCCCAGTCACCTAAAAACACCACAGCATACCATCCAGTATTCACTAGACTATGTATTAGAAGGGGAACTAGTAAAGCTCCACTGTTGGGTCTTTTTCTTTGGAAATGATGGATTAAAAAGAGAAAAATGTTTTTAGGATAGCACGTTTTATATTAATAATATATTAGACAGGATGCTCCCATTTTCTAGTACAAAGAAATTATAGCCAATGGAGTGTAGAGTTTCAAAGTTAATGTGGAAACAATGTTAAGATACTGGTATAAACAATCCTGTTATTAGAGGTGAAAAGCGCTGGTAACATAAGGTATACAATTATATTCAGGACTTAGGTTAAAACAAAACTTCCAAGGATGCCCTAATGGTTCATCACTGGAATATTTTCAAATTTAAGCAAACACCAGCAATTTCAAGATCATAATTATATGTAGATAAAATGTCTATCACATGAAAACTGAACTAGATAATTTTATGGCAAAAATTTAATTCGTGCCATTATTAACATTAATTATTCTCATCAAAATTCAATTAAAGACCACTTAAAAAGCCAGAAGAAAGAACTGAAATAGCTGCCAGAAATAAGAACCAAAGTTCAACCAGGTGACTATGAAAGTCAGGGAAAAAAACTGACTTTAATGTGACTATACTATGACCTGGTCTTTTTATCAAAATACCAAATAAAAACTATTATAATGATAATAAAAACTATAAGCAATACAAACCATTTTTCTGTTAAGTTTTGTCATTATATCTCGTGCAAGTGTAAAAAATGCCTAAAAGTAAAAAAATCATAATTATACAGTTAAAACATAGTTTGGGATAGAAATGCAGAAATTTTTCATCACTTCATTGTAAAATACATTGCTTTAAGATTTTTAACTGAGAAAAGAACATAACTGTAATCATAGTAAGCATATGAACGTTATATCCTGTTTTTCAATTATGTCATAAACATTTTCCGAATAATTTCCAATGCTATCAAGTGCCATTCATTCATTCCTCAACATTCCCTCCGCACAGCTCCTGGAACAAGTTCCCGATATGACACACGTTGAGTTAGGAGTAGCTTCCTCAGTAGATCAAGGGCACCTCAAGGGCAGAAGCTCTGTCTAAGTCACCCCTGCGTCCCCAGAGCAGGGCACACTGCGTCATCTAGGAGATGCTAAATATCAGTTTAATGAGCTAATGAATGATCATGTATTATTTTATAGCTCTAAAATCTGTCTTCATAAAAATCTCTACCTTTTACTCCTGAACTTCTATCTTTCAAAGTGCTTTTACTCTTACACCTGAGACCCCTTACTATGCTTCAAATCTTCCATGTCTTCCAAAACCCATTGCTGTCGAGTCGGTTCTGACTCATAGAAACCCTACAGGACAGCGGAGAACTGCCTCACAGGGTTTCCAAGGCTGTAATCTTTACGGAAGCAGACTGCCACATCTTTTTCCTGTGGAGCGGCTGGTGAGTTTGAACTGCTGACCTTTCAGTTAGCAGCTGAATGCTTAACCATTGCACCTCCATGTCTTACCCCCTCCAAAACCCAACAGTTGCTGGAGCTCAGTAAATCTCCAGCATGGAAATCAGTTCACACAGAACGGGGCAGAATCTGATCAATCTTGGTGGTATGTTATCCATAGTGCCTCTTGACCCAAACCAAGGGTTTTTAAAACTTATCCTCATTCTACTGTAATTCTACAGAGCCAAGAAGTCTTGAAGCTTCTTAGGTTGTCTCCGTGCTAAACTCACTATTATTACGTCAGACTCTTTACTACCAACCACTCCCACCATCCAAATAAAATGTTCAGGAAAAAAAGATTATTTTAAGTCAAATGGAAACAATATGATGACTCCTGTTACTCCTTTTTATCAGCAGCTCAGGGTCACACTGGTGACCTGGGAATCAAGGTTTCTAAGTAAACCCCATGCCCATTTTTACAAGGCTAATGTTAAGCTCTGGGAAAATTGCTAACTTTTGTAGAATACCTGGCTAGGATAAGCAGCTTTACACTTCCACAGCTCCACGCCCTCTGTAAGCCACAGTTGGGATCGGGGGGCAGGTACTAACTGAGACCTAAGCCTGCTCTGTTAAGCCAGGGAGCTCATTCTGTGGGAGAAAACCTATGTCAGCCATCTTGGTGGTTAAGCTCTTCTCGGCCATTAAAGTTGATTGAAGAGGCTCCCCTCTCTCTGACAGAGGGAAATCCTTCTGTAGCAAGAAGAAGGAAGCATTTTCTGCTTAGCTGTGCTTGTGTTAATAAATCAGTAGGGCTGCCTCTTCCCTAACACCTGTGAGCCAACCTGAAAAAAACGAGTGCTAATTGTTTAACACAAAGGAAAACTTCTGATTAGTGTGCCCCAGCCAATAAGATCACTTATGTCTCAATATTTAGTCCATCTTGGCTAAATGACGAACAGCGAACAGCCTAAGCAATTAAGTGTTTATGAAACCAACAATATATTGTTAAGTGAATTCCATGAATTAACACACATACTCATACATAACATGTACTACTTTTATGGTCAGTTTAAAAAAGGTTTTTTAAAAATAAAATATTATTAACAATTCTGCCCTTGGTGAAGAAAATATATTCTCAGGAGCCTTCAGATGATTTTGTTTTCCTTAACAGCTAACTTACTGTAAACTGACGTGAAAGCTACCCTCTGATAAACCCACTTTCTGATTTCCAGTAACTGTCACTGTTACAATGTATCATGCTTAATCCGCTCCAAATAAGTATGTAAGGGAATCTCTTCAGTAAACTAACAGTTTAATCCTCTCTTGAGAGTACAGGCATGAAAGTAAGACTCCTCTGCAACAGACTCCTGCAGGAAACACGCTGCCGTCAGGTGCCCTCGGGGCAGCTCCGACTCACAGCGACCCCATGTACAACAGAACAACACGCTGCCGTCAGGTGTTGTCAAGGCAGCTCTGACTCACAGGGACCCCACGTACAACAGAACAACACGCTGCCGTCAGGTGTTGTCAAGGCAGCCCCGACTCACAGGGACACTGTGACCTACAGAACAACACGCTGCCTCGTCCTGCGCCATCATCACAATCGTTGTTGTGCTTGAGCCCACTGTTGCAGCCACTGTGTCAATCCATCTCAATGAGGGTCTTCCTCTTTTTGCTGACCCTCTACTTTACCAAGCGTGATGTCCTTCTCCAGGGACTGGTCCCTCCTGAGTGATGCTAAGGAGCAGAGGACACTGCTTGGTCTGCCAGTCCAGCAATTCCAGCTTCCCAAACAAAGGGCAAAACTGAACTGAAATGGAACTTCCATCTTCTGTTCAGTCCATCTTAAATGAGTAATCTAATACAACCCTGTGTGGAGGCTGGATGCTAGCAATTCAACAACCAGGGTCCACATAAAAGTCAGAAGCGTAAAAGTTCACTTAGTGGAGGCCGGTCAACACAAGGCTTTGCTGTTGCTCAAACATAGACATTTGAGCACTCGTGCCAGAGCATAACAAGTCACCAAGCATTTGTTTCTTACCTCTTCTACGTTTGTACTGGATTTTGCACTTGTCTCCAAGAACTTAATCCCATAGTCAATTGCTAACTGAAAAGCAAAACAGAAACATTCAGTGAAAGTTGCTTGAACATATAAAGCATTTATATTTTTTAGGTTTTTCAAAGTCCCAAAGGTAGAGTATCTGTTTTGGAACTCCTGCTGTTTTCAAATTTCTTTACCATCTTCTATGATGTTTGGAATTTAATCATTTAACTTAATCATCGTAAGTTTAAAAAAGGTACAACTTCCACTTCATACAGTTTAAGTACTTCTTTCTTTTCTGTTGAACTTTTAGCTCTCTCATATACTTACAAGAAAAACTATGAAATGGACACCCTCTATACCATTAACTCGAGATTCTTTAGCTTCTTTTATCTGTTCCCAAAGTACAATTCTCCAACAGTTATGTGATGGTTAAGGTTATATATCAACTTGGCTAGGTCATGAGTTTCAGTGGTTTGGCAGATATTATGTAATCATCCTCCATTTTGTGACCTGATGTGAACAGCCAATCAGTTGCAAGGCCAATCAGTTGAAAGCTAACAGTTTCTTTGGGGGTGTGGCCTGCGTCCAATATATGTGGATGTTCTCACTAGGCTCTCTCTGGATCCTGCATCTGACTCGTCATCCTCCAACCTAGGTTCTTGGGACGTGAGCCAGCAGCCTGACCTGCAGATCTTGGGATTCGCCAGCTCCCAAAACCCCGTGAGCCTGCAGCCTGCTGCCTGATCTGCCAGTTTGGGGTTTGTCAGCCCCTACAATCATGTGAGTCAGGAGAGGCCTCCAGCCTGATGCCTGACCCACAGATTTGGGAGTTGCCAGCTTCCACAACTGCACGAGCCATTTCCTTGACATAAATCTTTCTATATATATTTATATGGAGCCCTGGTGGCACGGTGGTTAAGGGCTTGGCTGCTAACCGAAAGGTCAGCAGTTCAAATCCACCAGCCGCTCCTTGGAAAATCTATGGGGCAGTTCTACTCTGTCCTTATAGGGCCACTATAAGTCGGAATCAACTCAAAGGCAATGGGTTTTGTTTTGTTTTTGGTATATGTTTATATATATACACTTCATTGGTTTTGCTTCTTTAGAGAACTCAGCCTAAGACAAGTTACTATAGTGATTTTAATAATTTTTTAATAAACTGGTGTCTCAGTCATCTAGTACTGCTCTAACAGAAATACCACAAGTGGATGGCTTTAACACAGAGAAATTTATTCTTTCACAGTCTAGTAGGCTTCAAGTCCAAATCCAGGGCATCAGCTCCAGGGGTAGGCTTTATCTCTGTCAGCTCTGGAGGAAGGTCCTCGTCGTCATCAATCTTCCCCTGGACTAGGAGGTTCTCTGCGTAGGAACCTCAGGTCCAAGGATGTGCTCTGCTCCTGGCACTGCTTTCTTGGTGGTATGAGGTTCCCAATTCTATGCTTGCTTCCCTTTCCCTTTATCTCTTGTAAGATAAAAGGTGGTGCAGGTCACACCCCAGGGAAACTCCCTTTACATTGGATCAGGGAGGTGACCTGAGTAAGGGTGGTGTTACAGTCCCACCCTAATCCTCTTTAACATAAAGTTACAATCACAAAATGGAGGCCAACCACACAATTCTGGGAATCATGGCCCAGCCAAATTGATACACACATTTTTTGGGGGACACAATTCAAACCATGACAATTGGTATATAACAGAAGCAAAAGCTTAAAATATCGAAGTATTCATTGCTTTGATTTCTATTGATTGAGACAAACTGTGAACTCTTCCACATTTTTATCCATTCCCAAAGAGTTCCCAGTTCATTTACAACACCAAGATTAAGTGAATGTTTTTAGGGGAAAAAGTTTGCCGGCAGAATGAAAAACAAAACGCATTTTGCACGTTTCACTAAAAAAGGCCAAAGCAAAATTCCAAGACTTGAAAAGTGAGCAAAATGAAGCCACTCAGTCAATGTAGAAAATGTCATAGAAGTAAATATGTACATACTCTTATGCTTTACAGGGCACAAAACAGAGACCTGTCTATAAATGACCTCTAATGGCATCCATAGCTTGATGAGTTTACAAAGACTTTATCCATAGTGACCTACAACCAATGTGTACTAAAAAATTCTTTAATTAAAATAACGAATTAGAAAAATGATTACTGTTGAAATGTCAGGTATCCTCTTACTTTTTTCAAAGAGAATGAATTACTTTAACTTGAAAACTGGGCATTTTCACACAGATATAAAAAGAAAGAGCCTGAACTCTAAGCTGCAGGAACCTTGAAAAGGACCAATTTGTACCTCCCAGAAAACATTAGCAAATTCTTTAGCAATGAGTCATGACCACACAGTATATGGGGCTGGACGTGGAATACTAATTCACACCATTCAAGGATGGATTACAGGTCTTTGTTGTTGATCATGTTAAAGAATTGAAATGGATTTTTTTTAAACTTAAATCAATAATTAAATAACACTAAGAAAATAAATGCTTAACCTGAGTACATTGAAACCTTCTCGGATGCAGTTCAAATTTACCTTCTCGCCTCTTTCTTTCGATACTTGTCTTTTGTCATTCATATCACATTTGTTACCCAGGATCATTCTTTCAACATCTGAAGAGGCATGCTGCCGGGGGGGAAAAGAGTATGTTACAAAAAGGACCTGAGAAAAATCACAGTGTTCCACTAGACAAACGCTAACCTGTCAGAAACACATCCATAAATTGAACAGTAAGACAAATAATCGTGGCACTCATCATGAGGCCTGCTTCAGAGAAAGGTTTACAGGGTGGGAGTGGCGGGGAAGCCCCGGCAAGAGAGCCTCCGCGGAGCCACGCAAACTTTTTCCAAAGGCTGCAGAACTGTTCTCGTGTCTCATTTTGCAGAGGAACAAACAGAAATAAAACGCATGGTTACATAACCACAAAACATACAAACATATGTTAGGGTCAGAGAAGAAAAAAAAAAACAACACTCTAGTCCTCAGTGACCCAACGGGGAAAGTATTCTGGATTCCCAACTATTTAAAAAATAAATTCAGCTGGATTGACAAAGATGTGTACACATTATTTCAGAGTCACAGTTCTTTCTGAAATGGCAGGGACGCAGAAAAACCTTAATGCCAATCAATCCAGAATTAAGCCAAATTTACAGACTTAGCTTTCAAATATCTAAGATGGAGAAAAGCTTAAAAGGGTAAAGTGTTAAATTGCCAGGGTAAAAACAGATTTTTGCCCATCAAACAGCCTGACAGACAGACATCACCTGCCAGTCAGATGTTTCAGTGCCGGCTCTCCTTTTTAAAGGATGGAGGAGTCCAGGAAAGCCACTTTTCTCTGGCCTCAGCTGCCTCATGTGTACAACGGGATTTGGATTCAATCATGTCCAGGCTCTGGTCCAAGTTTAAAATTCTGTGAGTTCTCTCCTCTGTCTGCCTCCCCACCCCCCCCCAAGCCAGGCAGAGTAGGCAGGTCGGCGGTACAGGATCGAGCCCTCTAAGGTGCTCCCTGGCTGGGAGGCCCGGCCCGCACCTGCCCTACTTCTCATCAGCTCGGCTGCTCAAAGAGACAGCGGAGCCTTTCAGGAGCGCCCAGCAGGCCTCGTCGCCAGCGCCAACATCCACTTTCCATATTTACCTCTTCAATGTTTCTTATCCAATTTTTAATATTGTCAAAGGACTTTTCGTTTGTGATGTCGTAAACCAGCATAATTCCCTAAAAGACAGAGGAAAAAAAGATCTTTATTTGGTGTTTTCCATATTTAAAGCTGTGGAATATTAATGTCAATGTCCTCCTTCCCCCTGGAAACCTTTTATTAGTTGGTCCTTTTTCCCCTCTTCATAACCGGGGTTCACGATAAATTTGAAGAATACAAGGAATTAAATAAATAAATTCTTCCACTGTCTCACCATGTAAATAAATAAAAACTCCGCTAACATTTTCGCTGTTAAACTTTAATGAAGTAGTGATGATGGTAACCGTGATACACCCTTTCTGCCTGACTTCACATGGTAAGAATCAGCCACGCTGGCACTGAAGGAGTGTTTAGGTTAAAACAGAGACGACATGGAGAGTAGGAGGCAGGCACTTCTACGGGGCATGTGTTTAATCCAAATAGAAACTGTCTTCTTTCAGACTCCTCTAGTAAGACTGAAACCATAATGCTTTTAAAATTATTTCTTTTTATATGGGCTAATCAAAATGTCACTATTTATCTAAGTACATCACAGACACTTAGAATATAATGCATTGCTATCAGGTTTAATAAAAGGCACTGTTGTCATATTTTTAAAGACCCTTGTCTGGTATTTCTAAAGGGTCCACCTTCCAATTGCTTCAATTAACACCTGTGTTAACTACTCCCAAATCTATATCCCTAGACCACACTTAAGGGTCCTGGTGGTGCAATGATTAAATGCTCACCTGCTAACCGTAAGGTCAGCAGTTTAAACCCATCAGTGGTTCTGTAGGAGAAAAGGCCTGGCGATCTGCTCCTGTAAAGATGACAGCCTAGGAAACCCTATGGGGCAGTTCTGCTCTGTCCTGTAGGGTCGCTATGGTTGGAACTGACTCAACAGCACACAACAACAACAGACCACACTTCTATACTATGTGCACATCCACCCATCCATCCATCCATTCAACAACTATTTACTGGGCACCTAGTATATGCCAGATATATGCTAGGTACTACCAGGAATGAACAAGATCAACAAGCTCCCTTCCTCTCATGGATGGCTAGCGAAGGAAACAGACAATGAACCTCAGTATACGATTAATTATAATTCGATAACTCCTGTGAAGAAGCACGGGGTGCTCCGAGTGCATACCCTAAGGATGTAACCTAATCTGGGAAGAGGGTTGAGGGGCTGGGGTGGTCAGGGAAGGCCTCCCTGAGAAAATGACATCAAAGTCAAGGCCTAAGGACTGAGTAGACTTGAACTGGACAAAGGGGTTGGGGGTGAGGTGAAGAGGGAAAGCCCACAGTGTCTGGCACATAACAGATGCGTTATAAATATCTTGCGGTCTATGAAAGCCCAGAGCCCACTGGAAGGAAAGCTTGGCAGGAGTGCACAGATCATGGGAGAAGGGCACAAGACGAGGCTGAAGAGGTGGGCAGGGGCCAGGTGTGCCTTAGAGACCACAGACTGGACACCAGCACCTAGATATTACCCGCAGTCACCACAAACTCAGCTAAGTAAAACAGGAGGTTGTCTTCCTCACCTCCAAATCTTCTATTCCTCTTTGTATTCTCATCTTGGTAAAGGCCAATATAACCCAGCCAGTGAGCCCAAGTAGATACCTGGGGGTTACTTTTCCCTCCACAGTCAATCAGACACTAAATCCTACAGACCTAAGTACTTCAGTATTTCCAGAATCTGATACCTGGCAGACTCCAGTACAGTGCTTATCAACATGCTGCATACTCGAACCGACCAAAGGAAACCTACCATAACCACCACTTACTGAGAATGGTGCGCACCAGTGAGAACAGATGGCTGCACGTGCCACTGGACAGATGACCCGGGAGAGCCAAAAGACTCGAGCAGAGCAGGGTTTCCTAAAGATTTCTCTAAGGCTGCTTCTAGGCATGCAATGTTCCAGTGACGTCATTGCTCACTGTTCACTGCTCCTTCAGCAAGCATTTATGGAGCATCTAGCATGTGTCGGGCACTACTGTGGGCACTGGCTTTACAGCAGAACAAGAGAGACGAAAATCCCCGCCTTCAAATGGAAACGACAAGACTGCCTAGAAGACCAACAATGTCTAATTATTTGAAGTTCTGAAGGAGCGTGAGCAAAGACTAGGCAGTAGATATGTGAAGACAAAAATCCCCAAATCTAAATTAAACAGCACATCTCCCTGACCTCTTTCATCATACAATGAATTAGAGCTAGACATCTAAGCGGAACATTTGCTCCCACGTTCTCGGTGTTCCTGCCCACTCGCTGGTGAAAACGAGCACTGAAGTGATGTCAACGCATCACTCCCAGAAAACGAAACACTGTCCAACAAAAAGGCTCGTGTGTATCAAACGACTCCAATCAGAATTACCTGTAAACAACTCCAACTCATCCCTGTTAAGATGTTTTTTTGTTTTCAATTTATTTGGTGAAAATATATACAGCAAAAGCTACACCAGTTCAACAATTTCTACTCGGACAATTCAGTGACATTGATCACATTCTTCACGTTGTGCAGTTCTTATCTATCTCTACTATCCTTCCTGGCAGAAACCAACCGACCACCCTCTTCTGGGCACACAAGGTAAGTCCCTCCCCCTTTGATTCCAATCTAAGTGAAACAGAGCAGCTGGCAACTCTCTTTCTTAAAATGACGACCCTTCACAATCTTAAGATTATTATTAGGGTGGTGTGTGAACACATACATATAAAATGCTTAGTGGTGTGTAGTACAAAGGTGATGAAGTTTAAAAAAGGGATCTCTAATCTTTTTATGTAGCCCTGGTGGCACAGTGGTTAAGAGCTCGACTGCTAACCAAAAAGTCAGCAGTTTGAATCCACCAGACGCTCCCTGGAAACCCTATGGGGCAGTTCTGCTCTGTCCTGTAGGGTCACTATGAGTCGGAATCTACTTGACAGCAACGGTTTTTTTGTTTTAGTTTTTTTTAATCTTTTTGTGAGGATGAGTTACTGTTGCCTAAATAATTGAGGCTGAGTGGTGGCTGGGGAGGAAGGGAGGGCAGCGCTATGATGCAGGGGTCTTCATTATCCATTATTATTAATGGATTCAGATCACACCTTCCTAGAGACAAGGAGACGGCTTCATCCCCTTCAGCAACGTCACCGCTGGCACCACTCGAGTTTTTCAAATAATGAGCGGGGTGTGGCAGCAGCTGGCACCCCACAATCTATAAGTTGGCTTCATAATCTCAACTACTCAACCTTCAAAAACTTTCTGAGCATATTGGGTTTCATCAAAATTCAAGGCTTCAACTTGTGAGGCCTTAGGCCTAAAACCAGAGACAAAAGCCCTGATCTGGGCATGGTGTTCTAGGGGCTAAGCTGCCTTATTTCCACTGTACTCCCAGCACCACACAGCACCTGCCCAGAGCTGACAAGCAATACAAACGGGCTGAATGGCTGAAGCATCTTAGGGTGGAAACCAACCAAGTGACGAAGTTATGGTAATAAAGACAAGGTCAGGATGGAGCACAGAAGGACTGGGTAGCCAAGATTCAGCAGACTCTAAGCCCCAAAGTCACAGATCATTTAGCTACTTCCTGGTTAGCAGGCAGAACACTGGTCAAGGAGGCTGGTCACGTAAGCAGTGGATGTTGTGGAGGTGGTCAGATGGTGGGGCGATGGTAGTAGGTGGGGCTGGATGACAAGAAGGTGCAGAAAATGAATATCTGGCCACAGGGCTTGCTGTTTGCCAAGAGTTGACATAAGGTCTTAAGAAAAGGAAAAATCGCAAAAATACATAGTCACCTCAGAATGCGTGAAGGAATTCTAGAATATCAACAAGCTAATCATCTGATTATTATTATGAAGACCAATGGCAAAGTATACGGTTACTAAACATAAACATAACAAAAACCTCTTTAAATGTCTTGTTTTCATATCAAGAAATCGATCGCCCCCATTGTCCCAGACTCCAGCTTGAATCCTATAATCTTGCCAAATGAATGTTCGTGTCTGACTTTCACCTGAATGGTCACAAAACCCCAAAACCACACTCACCATGGCTCCTCTGTAGTACGCCGTTGTAATTGTTCGGAATCTTTCCTGGCCCGCTGTGTCCCTAAAATTCGAAACAGAGAAGGGAGTGGTTTTAAAAGTCATCACCAGCATCACTGAGGAGAGACTCCAAGCTGTGGGAGATGGAATGCTGGTCTGCTCACAGGTGCAGTAGTTTGAAGGTAAGGGACAGGGTACAAGGGAAGCCACCGTGTGTCTGCCACCTGGAGGCGGTGTGGCCACAGGAGCCTGTGAGGAGCCCACAGTGACTTGGGTGAAAAACTGGGCCCTTGATGATAAAAGCAGCCACAGGGAAATAAAACACATGGGCCCTGCTAGGAACTGGCAAGTTGGATCAGTTCAAACATACGTGGGAGGGAATAAAGAACAGTTCTGATTTCTTGGACTTCTAGAGGTAGTCAACATCGTTTCTGTAAGTGCTTAATGATTAAGACATTTTGCTCTCTTGATTGAAAGTGTGATTTCTGTACAAAGCAAGCAACTGAGCTGGACTTCCTACTGTGTAGAATCTGCTCAGCAGAGCGCACTAAAATGGATCTCAAGAACTTTCTCAGCTATGAAGCCCGTGGTTGAAGGGGAGGCTGGAGATGAACATATAATCCTTGGCAACGTCTCTAAAGACTTTTTAAACATGAACAACATCTCAAAGTTGTGTAACCCTTTCATATATTCTTGTTTTTTAGCAGATGGCATGCCATTAAAACACATTCAGAAAAATGCAAAGCTCCCCAATTTCATTTGTAGAAGCAATCCAATTAAGGAAAGTTAAATTTCCTTGATATTTGGGAAAAACAATATTCCCAAATTAGCCACTTACAGCCGGAACTAATTCACTACCTGTGCTACTAAGACAAACTAAATTGTAGAATCCTATTGCACGGGAGTAAGAGGCATCTGCAGAAAAGTACTAGAAATCTAATACATACCCAACCCAAACAAGAGATTAAGGACCAACAGAAATACGGTAAATTAAAACACATCAATAAACATGTTAACGTTTCTGTCTACTTTACGAAACACTCTCGCACTGTCTCACGTGATGTCGTGCACAGCCAGGTGCGCGGATCTTACCATCAACCTCATCCTGCAGGAGAGGAGGCAGGCTCGGGAGGGCGGTGGGCCCAGCTCTGCACGAAACAGCTTATCCCCTTAGATGAGACTCCCACATCCTAGGTCTCAGCTGTTCAGTACAGAGCCAGGACTCACACCAAAGTCCTCTTAACCTGTCATTCCCTCACTGACAGGATTACATATGTGGGGCACGATTTAGTACATGGAAAACACATCATGGGGAAAACAGAGGCCAAGCACCTTTGAGCAGATGAACCGTATCCTCTTGGTTTCAAGACACTACTGACTTAGAACCAGCTTTACAGTGAGGATGGAGGAGAAACCTTACCACACTAAATGTAGGTCGTGAGGACTGAATGGGCACCATTGTGCTGCTGAGGGCAACAATGAATAGATAGTGCCATGATGTTCTGGCCACTCTATATTAAGTTCTAATTATCTGATCATCCTCAGGCTCCTAGAAACACTCAAAAATCTGCGCTCCTTATTTCTATGATCAGGACTGCAGAGCATTGAATCAGGAATTCTCTTTGCTTCTCTCTTAAAAATATTTCTTTATCTCTTTAAAATTTTTAGCTTCTTACTAAATACCAATAGATGAAAAGCCTGTGGTAACCTTCACCATGTTTTCCAATGAAGTATACAGAGACCCACTTCACGAGGCTACGTATGAAGCTGATGCTGTGTTGCAGGAGATATGGGTAATTCTCCCCATTTTACCACTAAACCACACGTGTATGTTCTCAGATGGACTTAACCACTCTGAGGTCCAGTTTCCTCCTCCATAAAAGAAGGGCTGGTGGATTTCAATATAATGTTCAAATTCCATCCCAGGTCTGAGATTCAAGGAAGAAAATGAACCTAAGGAAAAAGCTGACACCCATTTCTTTACCGTTTAGCCCTGCCACCTTCTTAGTCTAAGTGCTGCAAATGTCTCAGCTGTGTCTGTTGTTGTCATCATCACACAGAAGATCAGCAAACATCACCAAAAACCTCCCTCAAGGCCCCAAACGCATATGGTGCCATGCAAGGCACTGAACTGAAAGTGGTTAAACCAGCTTTGGTTTTTTCTTTCTATGAAGTTAAAAAAAATCTAAGAGATTCTGAGTTCAAGCTAAAAACATTCACCCTGGTGAGCTGGAAAAACTGTATTTATTAACTGGAGTTTGACAAATTCTTCAGGAATTTACCAGCCGCAAGTAGAGACCACAAGGAGATCTTTGCTTTGCATATTACAACATTAAACATGGGAAATACGACCTTTTCTCCTTTACTTGCCAGTCCAGCGGTCCTCCACATTTCTTTACTTAATAAGAATAAGCAAAAAAAAAATCATAAAATATCAGAGCTAGAAGGGAACTCAAATGTCATTAATCCAACTCATCAATTCATAAATGAGGGAAAGCAGGCCCAGAGAAGGGAAGCATCTGACCCAAAGTCACCTCAATTTTGAGGCAGTCAAGGCTAGAACCTAGATCTGCACTTCCTGCTCAAGAGTTCCTGCCACGTGCCCAGTCTGCCTTGTCTGATTTCACAGCTGCAACAACTATGAAAAAGTAATTTATACTCTTTGGAATTTCATTTCTTCCTCTATAAAATTAAGAGTTTTGGATCAGATCTCTTCTGATGCCATTCCTTGCTTTCCCACTCTTGGTGGAGACACCTTTGAAGGATGCTCAGTACTTACTCGTTTTCCCCTTGGTTCTGATTTTACAGAAAAGATGCTTCAGCTACCACAGGATGCCTTTAACGTCTCACAATTCACATTTCAATTTCCACCTCCAATCCCCAATGGAGGGAGAAGCTGTGTGTGTACTTACCATATCTGAAGCTTAATTTTCTTCCCATCTAGTTCTATCGTTCTGATTTTAAAATCAATTCCTGCCAGAAAAACAAAGAAAGACATGCTGAGTTTCTTCAACTATAATCCAAGTCCTCTTAGGAAAAGGACAAAGATTTCTATTGAGAAAAGCTCTCCAACGCACTGGAAAATGTGAACAGAGAGAGGGTGTGAAGGGTACATTTCCTCTGAATACAGGCCAGAGAAAGGAATGCTAATTACGCTGCAGAGAATTTCCACACATGTCAAATACAGCGTATTAGATGCCTCATTATTTTGACAAAAATGGATCACATCCCTCAAAGTTACGTAATTTAGATACACTAAGAACACGCCATATTTTCTACTTCCTAAAAGACATATAAACAATGCTTCCCAACCCTCCTCCAACCATTCCCTAAAGAAGGCTGTGGATCCTCTTTAAAATGTCTTCCTCTAGCCCTGTAAAACCAAATGAGACTAAGGAGGTACAGGAGTCCAGTGACAGGGGCCAGAAGGCAGAAGGGGACAAGGAAGCTGGTGATAGGGAACCCAAAGTTGAGTAAGGATATTGTTGATGTGTTGTGAGATTGTTAACCATTGTCATAGGGCAACATTTGTAGTAACTGTTAAATGAGAAACTATTTTGTTCTGTGGGCCTTCATCTTAAGTGAGAATAGCAGCCCAACTTGAAGAGTGTGGTCGATGTCACTGAACTGTGTATGCAGAAATTTTTGAAACGGTGTATCTTTGGCTATGTGTATTTTCACCAAAAAAAAAAAAGGTTGAGAAGTTAGAGGGTTAATATGTTGTGGGGTTGTTAACCAATGTCATAAAACAACATGAGTACTACTGTTTCATGAGAAACTATTTGTTCTGTAAGCCTTCACCTGAAGTACAATAAAATAAAAAAATAATGTCTTCCTCTATTTCTTTCTATTTGATTCTTCAGAACCTGCAGCTGGCTAAGGGGGAAAAAATACACACACTCCTCACTTATCGACATGGTTAAGTTCCAAAGACCAGGTCGTTATGTGAAAATTGGTATTATGTGAAAAATGGAGGATGACCACATCATTACATAACTGTCAAATTACATAACTGCCAAATTACATTACATAACTGCCAAACCACTGAGAATCATGGCCCAGTCAAGGTGACACATAACCTTAACCATCACAGTCAGTGTTACTCTTGCCTCGAACCTCATCGATCGTCACTGCCACACGTACGTCGTTAATGTGTTTAAAATAGTGGGATAGTAGTTTTTTACTATTGTCATAAATGTGAAATGTCGGATAACAAGATAGTCGACAAGTGAGGAGTAGGGAGTAGGTGTATCACCTATCTGATAGACAGGAGGGGAAGTCTACACATTTATTTTACACAGTTAGCAAGTATTTTATATATACATTAATAAATGTTTCCCACAACTTACTGGCTAGAGCTAAAGCAGCTACCGTGGTTTTTAGCTCTGGCTGCATGTCAGAGCTATGTGGGGAACTTTTTAGAAAATACTAATGTATTTAAAAAGCCTGCCCCGCTTCAAAATTCTCAGATTCTGATTTGATAGATCAGAGGTGGGACCTAAGCACTAGTAATTTTCAAAGTTCTCCAGGTGATTCTAACCTGCAGCCGGAGTTGAGAACCACTCAATGGGGATCTAACAGGTGGCATGTGAAATGTGAAAGTCATTTGCGGCTCTGGCACTTCAAAGGTTTAATCTCTCCCTCAACTACTGCCCTCCCCTTCTCTCCTGTCACACCCCTACCCCCTAGCCCAAACCTTATTTAGCAGATGTCCACTACAAAGAACTACAACGCCCTTTACAAACATAGCTAGCGTGTAACTCTCCAAGAATAAGGTGCACTCTTTCTGAGGGGACCAGACAGTCAGTGGATACAACATGGTTGCAATTTGCTAAATCCTCTTCATTTGGCTGCTCAGCTTTTAGACCTTTCTGTCCTTTTGCATTCTATACAGAATCCCTTAAAGTGGTTTGCAAGACATTTCAAGAAAACATGTAAATTATGTATCCTCTAAATTAACTCAAACATTAACTGCAGTTTTTTTTGAGGCGGGGGGGAGCCTTCGACAGCCATGTTACTACAATGTTTACACATAAAATATTGAGAGTATCTGAAAAAGGCTGCTTCTCCGCTTCAGCTTTATATAATGCTTAGGCATAAATGGATGAGCCCTGGTGGCACAGTGGCTAAAGCGCTTGGCTGCTAACCAAAAGGTTGGCAGTTCAAACCCACCAGCTGCTCCATGGAAGAAAGATGTGGCAGTCTGCATCCATAAAGATTTACAGCCTTGGAAACCCTATGGAGCAGTTCTACCCTGTCCTATAGGGTCACTATGAGTCGGAATCAACTCAAAGGCAGCGGGTTTGGGTTTTTGGTTTGGTAGGCATAAACAGGGTGGATTTTCTGCTTCTTCTCTGTATCATACTGTTCCCCCAGGGAACCTTTTCAGGTACTCTAGTGAATCCTGAAATAGACAACAATTACACACAAGCTAACACAGCACAGCAGCCCCTCAATCATTCTTTTCCCTCACTAATAGCTATGTATTGTTAACAAACTCAATCTGATACCCAATATCCCCAGGTTATCTGGCTCATACTTCCCCTTCAGCATTGCAGGGTCCGCAGTGGCAGAAGCAAAACTTAGCAACACAGAAAGCATGTTATTGTTAGCATCACAGGCCTCGCCTCAACAGAATCTACTGTTGCCATCACTCATGTAAGGCTGAATGCATGGAACCCTCACCCACTGCTGGTGGGGATGTAAAATGGTATACGCATTGTGGAAAACAAGTTTGGTGGTTCCTCAAAAAACTAAACATAGAATTACCATATGACCCAGCAATTTCACTCCTAGGTATGTACTCAAAGACTTGAAAGTGGGACTCAAACAGATACATGTACACCAATGTTCACAGCAGTATTATTTACAGTTAGCCAAGAGGTGAAAGCAACCAGTGTCCATCAACAGATGAATGAACAAACAAAATGTGGTACATACATACAATGGGATACTGTTCATCCATAAAGAGAAATGAAGTTCCGACGTATTTTATAATATGGATGAACCTCAAAAACGCGCTGAGTAAAACAAGTCAGACACAGAAGGACAAATATTGTATGATTCTCACTTATATATGAAGTATATAGAATAGGCGAATGCACAGAGACCAAAGTTTCTCAGTGCTTACCAGGGGCCAGGGAGAAGGGGAAGGGCGGGAGTAGTGATTACGGGGTACAGAGTTTTTGTTAAGGGTGACAGAAAAAGCTGGAAGCAGAGAAGAGGGTAGTACAACCTGGTGAATGTGATGAACGTCATTGAATCGTACTTTTAAGACTGGTTGAAACGTCATTGAAT